GTTGGTAATTTGTGACTTTCAAGGAATTTTCCACTTCCATCTATTTTGCAGAATTAGCTGTATTGCTTATAATTTTTCCTTGTCATTCTATATAATTTGTAGTAAAGAACATACTTTGAGAGTATATAACTTACTTTGTGTGACTTGAGACTTAATTGAATTTGTTTCATGATGTAATATATGGCTTCTATTTTTGGAGTTTGAACTTACTGTTCCATACTTGCCTAGCAAAGGTCTCTACCATTTGGGGGGTACCCTGCCCTGAAAATATGGTCTATTTTGTATATGTTGCCTGTATGCATAAAAATGTGCTTTCTGTTGTTGGTTGTGTAGTTATTAACCATGTCAAATGAGGTAATAGTGAAACTAAGGTCTATTTAACCCTTGTTGATCTTCTCTTTCCCCTTCACTACCAGGTAATAAGGAGGAATTCAAATATCAGATCATAATTGACGTCATTTCTCTTTGCACTATTTATGTTTTGAAGCTGTCATTAGGTATACAATCATTTAAGTCATGTATTTTTTTGTACTCAGAATTGAGCCCATAACCTTGCTGTTCATGCTAGGCAAGTGCTCTGCCACTTGTGAATGTCTCTAGCTCTTTTTTTTAAAAAAAATTCCTTTAGCTGCCATTTTGACTGGGATAGTCTCAAAATGCAATTCTCCTGATCATGATGCCTGCCACCATGCCTTGCTTGTTATTTTGTATTCTTTGTTGACGTTGACTTCATCATTATGAATCTTATCTCTAAAATTAATCTTTGATAAAAACTTATTGATATAGCCAGGCAATAGTTCTATCAGAATAAAATCGTATTATCTTTATGTCCTTCTTTTCTGCATTTCTTGTAGGTAGCACATAATCACGGATATGACCTTTTGGTAAGCAATACACTGAACATATGATGATAGTACCATAGATTATACTACCTACTGCCCTCATAACTATCTTCCTTTGTGTACAAGTAGTCTGTGATACTTGCCATGTTTGACTGAAGTTGAGTCTTTTGATTACAACCTAAATCATTTCTGAATTATAATGGGAATGTTTACACTTATGTCCTATGCTTGTATGGTAAAGTTTATTATATTGCTATTGGTTTTCTATATACATTAGTTGTCCTTTGTCTCCCTCAGTTCCTGCCTTATCTAGAATTACTTTTTATTATCCTATCTTATTTTCTGGGTTACAAGGTAGTTGGTTTTAAGGCTCATAGGTCTTCAATTTATCAGTCTATTTGTCATACCTCTTTATGCACAGTGTAAGTTTACCACAGTATATACATAGGTAGTTGATTCCTTGAAAAGAAATGCAGAATCATAAAAATGGTAAAAGCAGAAGCCATATAAAGTATCCTTAGTATCTAGAGTAAAATTTGTGCTTGTTCTATGACCTTTAAAAAACTAAAGCTCTCAGGGTCAGTGAGAATGTTTAAAAACTAGTAACTTAGTATAACAAAATATTAGGAGAAATGTTGACTATTATGTGAAAAAAAATTGTCATTTGATACTTGCCTTTTTCTTCATGTAAATTACAATGTAGTGAGGATCTTTTCTATGTCATCGTGAGCAAACCCTAGTTTGGATCTAGTTCAAACATTTAAGTTTTGATCTTCTCCCCCATTTTTGCAATAATAGGGATTAAACCCAGGGCCTCAGGCAAGTATTTTACCACTGAGCCTTATCCATAAGCCCTAAACTTTTATGTTTTTAATGTCTTTAAATAGACAAGAAATCCTCTAATGTGAAGGTTTTGGTTCTCTTGAGCTAGTGTTACTTCATTCTCTTAATTCCAAACACTTTTCCCCCCTCAGGTTGATAAATTTTCCTTAATAAGACCTGACCGCTGAATTTCAAAAGGTGACAACATTCTTGACATTTTCTTCTAATCACTCCCATTTATATTGGCTTTGATTTTGTTCTCTAATGTTAGAAATTATGTTGGAATTTCATTGTACTTTTGTTTATTGTTTAATTTCATTTCAATTGCCCATGTATATTATCTGCCATATAGATTTTTCACTAGGAGAAATGAAAGGTTTGCTTTCAGGGTATAAAATGAATTATAGTTAGACAGTAATCAATCACTGATGAATTTTCCAAGAAATGACACCATTTGTCATTCCTTGTGGTTTGCATTAGTAGTTCACATGTTAACAGGTGGACTGCACAAGATCTAAAATTTGGACTTCACACTGTAATTGTTATAAAATGCACATGCTGATCAATCTTGGTTGTCAACTTAACTGCACAGAAAAAAATATCTAGAAAATTGGTATTGGCAAAGCACACTTCTGGGTGTGTCTGAAGGTATTTTCACAGACTACGGTCATACGAGTCAGCATGAAAGACCTGCTCTGAAATATAAGCAGCATCAGCCATTAGACTGGGGATCTGGTGAAACAAAAAATGAGAAACCTACCAGCTTGTTCAAGCTCTTTGAGAGTAGGACATCTTTTGGCTGTTGCTATATTCCATGGATCAGACTCCACAATGTGGACTCAGATCAGTGAATTTTTAGGGGGTGGGAGGGCTTCTGGCCTTTAGTCTTAGAATCAGACTGTATCCTTGGTTGCTCTTATTCTAAGGCTTCAGCTCTTTTACTTTAGCTTTTACTCTTTCCCTGCTCTGAGGCATTATAACTAAACAGGACTAGGGATGAGGCTCAAGTGGTTGAGAAAATTCCTAGCAAAACCAAGGCTCTGAGTTTAATGCCTACTTCAAAAAAAAAAAAAAAGGAATGTGAATTGAAAATGAGAAATGTGGATTGAAAAAATGGATGGGAACACTGTTTATGCAAGTCCTGGATCCCAAAGTCCGGAGAATCTGGAGTAGTAGATGGTTAAGGACGGGAGAAAGGCATTCTAACAGAAGAAAGAATTTGCCTTTTCTCTATTTTTAATATTGTTAAGGCCATCAGTTCATTGGATGATACCATCAAATTAGATAGGGACTGATCTTGCTAATTCAAATGACAGTCTTTTCTGGAAATACTCGTCAAACTCAGCCAGACACCAGTGGCTTAAATCTGTAATCCTAGCTACTCAGGAGGCTGAAATCTGAGGATTACAGTTCAAAGCCATCCTGGGCACAAAAGTCTGTGAGACTCCCATAAACCACTCAGAAAACTGGAAGTGGCGCTCTGGCTCAAGTGGTAGAGCCCTAGCTTTGAGCTGAAGAGCTGAGGAACAGCACCAGGCCCAGAGTTCAAGCCCCACGACCGACGGAAAAAAAAAATACTCATCAAATCCACAACTAATATATCAGCAGTTAAGTACATTATTCAGCCAACTGAAACTTAAAATCAACAACCACATACTTATCGAGTTCTCATACGGTTATATAAAATTAAGACTCGTGAGATTTTTTGCACAAAGAATCCTTCCCAATACAATAGTTAAGTCCTATAGATTCTTTAGAGTTGTGTGCATAGATGACAGTATATTCAATGGATCAATGTATTTTTTCCCTTCATACTTGAGTATACCCCAACAAGGCAATCCTTGGCCCTTTAACTCCTTAGACCCTTTGAACTACTTCACTCACTAGTTATTAAAGGCATTAGTATCAGAGTACAAAGCAAAACCCTATGGTGCCAACAGACTGCCAGGGTATAAAGGCTGCCCTCACCTATGGCCACTACACCAACCAACCACAGACAGCATGTCCAGCTGATGATGCACACCACAATCACTGCCCACCGCTTTGGAGTCACAGCTACCATGATGAATCTAGCTGATCCATGAACCTCTGGCCAGCCTCTCAAAGCTCCACAGAGAGCATTCCAAAACTCAGGACCACTCTTACAAGCCCTACCATGGGACTCACTCTCTTCTTTCTTCTGACAGACGCCTATCTTGCTATAAGAGAACATAGCTAACTGCAAAATCAATAAGATTTTTTTTCTTTTTAAACTATTAAGAAATCTTAGATCCAAGTCACTTTAGGTATTCATATTTAGATTTGTGCTCCACTTTAAAAAAAAAAACAAAAAACTTCTGAATTAATAAGCTTATTTTAAAAATTGCAATTGTGTGATTCAGAGAAAGCTATTTGATAGGGTTAAAAGTATTATTTCATTCAGGGGTGGGAAACATCCAGCCCACAGGCCTGTGGGCTGTAAAAAGCATGCATTATGCTATGGGACACTTATGTAAGGTTTACATTGGCTGCTGTAGCCAGCCTGCCTGTAATGATAATTTTGTATAAATGTTGTAAGTATCCAAATGGCTTTGGCAAAAAAAAAGAAAAAAAAAGGTTTCCCACCCCTGCTTTATTGTTTTGAGAAGTAAATGCATTAACTATATCAATACGTTTAGAGTGCTTAAAACTATGCCTTGTAAATTAAATATTTAACAATATTACATAAGTCCACTAATTATAATTTTTCCCTTATTTGGCAATGAACTTTAAAAAAGCCCACAATGAGCTGGGCACTGGTGGCTCATGGTTCGAAGCCAGCAGGGGCAGGAAAGTTTATGAGACTCTTATCTCCAATTAATCTCAGAAAAAGCTGCAAGTGGTAACTCACATGGTACAGTGCTATAGCCTTGAGCAAAAGGAGCTGAGGGACGGGGCTGAGGCCAAGTTCAAGCCCTAGATCCAACAAGAAAAAAAAAATAGATACACAATGAAATTAACAGTTACATAAAATCACTTATGAGTTCTGAGGAAAGGACAAATTTGGTGTTTCTTTGTGTTTGAATCCCACAAGTGATAATGACGATCCTGGGAAAAATGATAATCATGATCCCATTCTGAATAAATTAACATACCAAGCAGCAAGGATTACTTTTAGGAGACACAGGTTATAGGCATTTCAATTTTTCTTCCAAACAAAAACTTATCTGCATTATTTCAGTTTTGTATTATTCATTCTTAGAAAAAGAATATTACCTAAATCTGTTCTTCTACTGTGTATATGAAAATACAATTTTCATGATGCACGTGCCTAACAGGCAAAGACTATCTCATTATCATAGTCTAAGAAAATCCATAGTGTTTCATATAGTTCTCTAAGCCATTTAGAAAGAATACTGCATATTTATTAATGCCCTCTAGTTAAGACTTCTATTATGGGCTCCTCAAATTTTAAATAGGCAAGAAAGAAAAAGGTTTGAAGAAAATTAATTAAAAGGAAAATTGCAGTTACAGAAAAACTAAAGAGACTCCCATGCTGAATATTGGAAATACTAATCCTTTAAATAAAGCAAGAAATAGTGAGCAAATGTTCAATAGCTATTAATGTGGTTTTATAATTCTTCTATAAAATAATTAATATTCCATCAAAATATTTTATGCATTAATACATGGAAGCTAATGGTTTAATTATCTAGGTGTTCAGAAACATTATTCTAATACAGTACTGCTTTAACTGCTATTACTTTGAAAAAAAATCAAAATGTGTTCTCACCCACACAATTCAGAGATTGGTTCAGATAATATCTGAAGTTTCTGCTAAGTCTAAATGTTAATGATTCTACTATATAGCTAATCCACTACTTCTCAACTAGATATCTTATATTTTATCTTCCTTTTCTAAACTAGATATTTTACATCAGTATTTTCTCTAAATCCAGTTTTCAAAAACAGTATTAATTTTAGAAATTAATCTTCTTCTGACTAGGAATTGAAAATATAAATTTGCATACTAATAAACTTAAGTTCTTACCAAGAATTTCCTAGAAAAATATTAATTTAAAATTCAATAATGTACAAATATAATAGCAACAGTTATTGAAAATAAAACTATAAAAATAGTCTTTCCTAATTTGGTTGAGATTTTATATAGGGGAAAAACATTAAAGCAGAAAATGAAGCACATTATCTATTTTTTTATGATACTTTGCAAATCATATTTTAAAAACTCTCTCCTGTATAATCTCAGTACATAATTGTTAATTTGTCTGAATTTCCAAAACTTACATATAATTGCTTTCACGTATATATCCAAGGAATTTAGCTTTCATTTTCATTGTAAATACTGATTTATTAAATAATAAAGTCCAAACTTTATAAAGTCAGCATTACATTTCTCATAGAGAAATCCAGAAAAAAATAAAGTATTTCCTATCATAGATAGTCATCAACAAAAGTCTTCCAATCAATATTTCATTAAAGAAATTAAGTGGGAGCTCAGTTTACAGATGATGCCTGTGACTTGGCCATTCTCCGACCCAGGGCTTCTTGTCTTTTCCTCTGAATTTCTTCAGGAGAATACTTTCTATTTTTCTCCTCTTCCTCTAAAAATTAAACAAAATAAAAGCATGTATTAATTTTGTTGTCAATATACTCATTTTTAACATGTGATATAACTTTTGCTTTTTTCTTACCCAGATTTGCCATATTGGTTTGTGTACTGAATCAGAGAATCCAAATACATCCATATAGATAAAATACATACATACAGATAAAACGCTTCAGGGTCAACCCACATCCCCTAACCTGATAGATTGGTTACTATTTGATAAACATTTTTTATATGATAAAAGTCAATTTTATTGGGAATTTGTAGCTCATACCTATAATTCTAGCTACTAGAGAAGCTGAAATCTAAGGTTCAAAGCCAGCCTCATCAGATCAAGTTGAGATACTTATTGCAGATTAATCAGCAAAAAGTTGGAAGTGAAGGTATGATTAATCAGCAAAAAGTTGGAAGTGAAGGTATGACTTAAGTGGTAAAGTGCCAGCCTTGAGCAAAAAAGCTAAGCAAGAACTCAAGGCCCTGAGTTCAAGCCCTAACACTAGCATGAAAGTGAAATTCCATTTTGTTAAAAATTACGTTTGACTATCCACTGAAAGTAGGTTGAAGATTCCTGAAGTTTTTAAATAACAGATATTTTAACAAAATAAATGATCAAGAAGCTGAAATGGGGCTAGTAACAGAGGTTAGATGAGTGAAAAGGGAACAGGGAACAAATATAGAAAGAATACTCAATATGTGTGTGCATGTGTATGTGTGTGTGATAAAAGAAATAGGAAATATGAAATGAGTCTCGTGGTAGGGGAAACAGGATGGAGAATAATGGAAAGGTGACTGATCAACACTGAGATGAACATATTCAATTGTATCCTCATATAGCCTTTTGAAGTTAAGAAAAATTAGTTTTAAAAATGATAATAAACACATACAATATTAAAATCAAACACTTCAATACACACATCTAAAATAAAATTTTCCAGGAAATAACTCATAAATCATTCAACAAACACTTAAAGAACACTTCATTGCAAAGGCTGGAAAGTAATTTAATGTAATTTTTTGAAAAACATAAGACATTACCTGCATACTATGGCAAATTATTTAGCAAGAATCACTTTAAGAATTCTAGATAAACAACACAGAATAGTTTTTACGTTGAAATACACAAGAAAAACTGGTTTAATCATCTCTGAGATCATACATCCTAAAGAAAATTAATTCATACATACCTTTGGGAGAATGTTTCAAAGTTCCAGAAAGTTCCAATGTCTGCTGCCAATCAGGCTCTCCAAGTAATGAGTTGACAGTTCTCCTTTTCTCCAAACTCTGTGTAGTTTTGGTAGCAGACATACTTTGTGCTATACAATTTTGATTAAATTGAGAAGGAATCTGAGAGTTTTTCTTCTTTGTAAATGTAAACTTTGATGATCTTGCAGGTTTGTTAATGCCATTATAAGCTTCATCTGTTATGGTCCAATGAGATAGCTGCTTAGTATTCCATTTTTTATTAGTAGAAATTTCTGTCCCTGTATGATCTGAACTCACATTCCAAGTTGAACTATCGGTATGACCTGATTTGGAATTATTCATTTGTATTGGAATACCAGTGTTACTCCAAGAGCCACACAGATTATTGATCTCATAATTGTTTCTTAAGTTCTCAGAGCACCTAGTCAGATTTGTAGCATTCAATAAATATGGAGAATTTACACAAATTTCCCTTTTCTCCATTTTCATTGATTTATTTATTTGCAAACTGTTCACTGAAGAGGTTTGCACTGACATGCTGCCCAAATGTTTTGACTGCACCAAATGATTGCCTGGTTTAGATGTAACAGACATGTTTCTGGCACCATGTCTGGAACTATTATTGATTTTAATACTTTCTGACATCTTGTTGTCCTTTATTATCTCTTGTTGCTGACTTAATCTTTCAATATCATCACATGCTTGATATAACAAATCATCATCCACATCATCTGCTTCCCAGGTAGTTTCTAACTGATGACATGCTTTAATAAGTTCATTGGTAAGAGATGGGTCATTCCAATCATCAAAGAAAGAACTCAGCTTTGATGATGTATTAGTCTGATTTGGGTGACTAATATTAGTTTCATTATTCAAAGCTGCAGAGCCAAAAGAATCAATAGGTTCTTTAAATGAATGATTAAAAATGTTTTTCTGTTCACTAGGGTATCTTGTGTTCAAAGCAGACTTCTTTTCAGAAGCATGTCCATTAGAAGAGTAGTTAGTGGCTCCATGTTCTTTTACTTGGCTCAGAGTAGATGCAACTGCACAATCTTGAATTTTGTCTTGATTGTTTGGATTTAGTAAAAATCTATTTTTGCCAGACTCTATTAGTTCTCTGTTATGTGTCTTTGAAGGAAGGTTTTGTAATAATTTTGAATCTTTTAATCTGGCATCCAGATTTATATTCCTTCTTGCCATAGTTTTATCATTTTTACTAATAAAGGTACAAGTTCCCTTAGAATCGGTAACCTGGGCAGTTTTAGAAGGGAAGAGTTCAAGCATCTCAACATTCTGCATAACAAAAGGTTCATTACCCAGTAAACTTTCCCAATCATCCTCAAAATCACTAGCAGAATACACACCAGTGTATTTATTAGAAACTTTTGGATCCTCAGAAGAGGGAGTCACATATGATTTTGTCATTTTGGGAACATCTACCTTAGAAATAAGTGATACTGGGATTTTATTTAGCAGTTTTTCTTTGACCAACGTTTCATTAGTAATTTTTTCCTCTCTCGAAGCACATTGCTTTCCACAAGTAATATTATTGTTCACAAGAGCCTCTGACATATCTTGGCTCAACTGCCCACTACATTTCTGAGTAGAACCATCAAAAATGGCATTTAAGGCTGCTTCAGCATTTTGGTCAAATGGCTTCTGACTGCTGTTTTGATCATTTTCCACAGGTATCCTGATGTTTTCATTTACTGCTTTCTTTATTATAGCATTATCTGCTTTGGGAATTGTACCACATAATGACTTTATATGATCTTCACGTTTATATAAAGTCTCCATTTCAGAAGCTGTCTGTATAAAATCATGATTCTTTTTGCTTTGCTCTTGAATCACATCTAGCTCTTCCATATTTTTGTCAAATTGTTTGGCTAATTTCATAAGTTCTTTTTCTCGATTTTCTGTTCTTAACCTATTAAACAATATGTAAAAATTGTAACTAAGAAATGCTCTAGGACTAATTATAAATATTCAGTTGTTATTTAATATATTTTGATCCTGTTAGAACTCCCAAAATTTTAACACAATTATTCTAACTCCAAAAGTTCACATGGCAAAGCCAAGAAAATTTTACTATTTTGATGTATTCACAAAATCAAAACATTGTTATTAAATTACTGGCTTTAGTGAAACTCACAACAAGTGAAAGGTCTAAACTCACTTTGTGCAGCTGCTTTTTCCTCTTGATTTTTCTTTTGCTACACAAGGAGTACAAGGAATAGCAGTTTCACCAATCCACACACCCAGCATGGAGTCTGTTATTGGTTTTTCATCCTTTGGAAGAGAGAAGAAAAAAGCACCAGGATTCAAAAGCAAAATAAGAAAATTAAAACCTACTGTGAATTATTTTTCTAAAGCAATAAATTCTGATGATGCTAGTCAATATACTAAAAACCAATGAGAGACTAAAAAACACTGATAAGTGGTTATGCGAGCCATTTAAGTTTCAGGCAATACAAAATATTCAAAATGAAGGTTTTAAAACTAAATTATTCACCCCAGTGCCAGTGGTTCACACCTATAATCCTAGCTACTCAGGAGGCTGAGATATGAGGATTACAGTTAGAAGCCAGCCAGGGCAGGAAAGTCCATGAGACTCTTACATCCAATAAACTACTCAGAAATAAACAAGTGGCTCTGTGGGTTAAGTGGTAAAGCACTAGCCTTGAGCAAAAAGAAGCTAAGGGATAGAGCCTAGACCCACAGTTCAATTTCAGGACTGCAAGAAAAAAATAATAATAAATTACTCATGAAATGTGTATCTAATACTATTTGTGTATGGAGGAATTTACTAAAGAAAAATTACTTTCTTCAATTGTCACAATAAAGTTTAAGAACACCTCTAATACTATGCTGGACACAAAGAAAATGTCTTTTTGTATTTATCTACTACATGGTGAAAAGAACCCTATTAATTCGATACTTCAAAATCCTCTATGAATCAACAAGCTGTTTCCTTAATTTTCACTTGAAAATACTTGACTTTGGTTTCTCAATATATTCAATAAAATCAGTAATTTCTATTTTGGACTCAGTATTTTGTGTTTCAACAACAATCTGGAATTAAAGAAAACATTAACTATTGAATGGAGTCTTTTCACTTTTAAGTAATTTTAAATCCATTCAATTTCAGAAAATTAAATTATGACACGAGTCCTATGTATTTTTGTATATGGCTTGTGTTTTAATTTAAATTTATCAGTAACTACATAACAGATTGATTTCAAACTACAATCTAGGTGCTGTTTAAACTATCTAAACATATTTATTTCAGTTCATCTGAAGTATATACTATGTGGGGAGAAAAGAGATATATATCTTCTAAAAAAAAGTAACAATCCATAAAATTGTTACTGCAGTGGTAATGACTATCTAAAATAGATGTACAGATTTTTTTTTAAATCCCATCTTTGAAGGGGGAACTGAATAAGGATTTAAAGATAGCACTTACCTAAAAATAAACAACACAAATATTTGTCATTGTGAGAACATGACAAACTTTCCAAAAAGCTTGTAGGCCTGGGCACTAAAGGCTCATGCCTACAGGCATGAGCTACTTAAGAGGCAAAGATCTAGAGAATTCATGTTCAAAGCTACCTCAGGCAAAATAAATAAATAAATAAAAAGGACTCTATTTCAAGCAATGTCTAAGCATAAAGGCCTAGGCTTGTCATCCCAGATACAGGAAAAGTATTACTGGTAAGTGTGGTGGTGAGACCTTGTTATTCCAGGAAGCACAAATGGGAAGATCATGGTCTTGGTCAGCAAGAGCATTAAAAACAGACAAAAATTCAAGAAAAACCAAGACTCTATATAGCCAATATAGCCAGGTGCCAGTAGCTACTCAGGAGGCTGAGATCTGAGGATGGCGGTTCAAAGCCAGCCTGAGCAGAAAAGTCCGTGAGACTCTGATCTCCAATAAACCACTAGAAAACCAGAAGTGGTGCTGTGGCTCAAGAGGTAGAGCGCTCGCCTTGCCGAGCGCTCGCCTCGCCTTGAGCTAAAGAGCGCAGGGACAGCGCCCAGGCCCAGAGTTTGAGCCCCACAACCGACAAAAAAAAAAAAAAAAAAGGTAGCTAATGCAAGTAGAAACAGAGTAACAGAGTGGCTAATAGAGAGGCATGCCTAGCAAGTATGAGGCTGAGTTTAAAAACTCAGTACCACCAAATAACAAATACATAAAAGCTGTAATACTGCCAAAGAGTTACATGATGCAAAAGTGCTCAGCTGAAGGTACTATTTACAAACAACTAATTTCATTTTTTTTCCTTTTAAAATTGTTCAGAAGTCATGACTGTTGCCATTGTACAGAAGTCATGACTGTTGCCATACTGTTGCCATTTCTTCATGTGAGCTATTCTTTGTAGGTAAAGGATCTAACAATTTACTTAACTATCTACCTTTTCTTTTTTTTTTTTATCACTATTTAGGTTGGCCTGCCCAAACACATTTTATTATGCTTCTTTCATATGAAACCCACAATTAATGAAGATCTACTGTTAACTTACAGAGTAAGTAGTATATCACAAATGCTACTTAACTAATGAAATGTACATAAAATGAATGTTTATGACATGTCAAGAATGGGATGTAAAGCTAGCAGCATGAGAGTTGTTTTGGCTGTGCAAGTTGTAATTCTTGAATATTTTATAGCTAAGAAACATTTCATTCCTGTCTTCTCTACTGGATATTGTAATTTCTCATAACCAGTGCCATCCTGTTTATGGTCACCAGATAGTAATTATCCTAAGAACATGTAAAGGAAATCGCCACAATTTCTTCAGAGAAGACACTTAAGCAAAAATCAGATGTACTGTATTTTTAGATGTATTTCAGATGTATTTCTAAATAAGAAAAAAAGAAAAAAAAGAAAGAAAAGCTCAGCACAGTTTCATGCTTTGTAAGAATAACAGGCTTTGTATGATAAATATTAGTTACTAGATTCCTTTGTATTAAATGACAAACTTATACTGCTATCTTAAATTCAAGAAATGAAATAAAAAATGAGAAATGAAATGAAAAAAATGTTTTGAAGATGGTTGTATTACAGCAAATAAACTGTTATAATCTTACATTATATTTTTAATCTATATAATAATACAATGAAAACAATGAGGTAATAAGTTTATGGCTGAATGAACTGAGGTTTAAGAGTTACGTGATTTGCCTAGAGTCTCTCAACAGAAGAAGCTATGAAGACAATGTCTATATTTAGGGCTTTTTCCAATTTAATGCATTTCTTGGTGATTCTGTAAGTTAGGGAGTATTAAGAAGAGAATTTTCAATAAGGAAATGTTGTACTATACATAGTAAGTACACACTAATAACAAAAGCATGACCAAAGTATTGTTACTGTTATTAATAACAAAAATACCATGTTAATAATGCTTACATGTATAACATTAAAGACAAAAATAAGCTTTAAGCTCTATCAAAAATCACTACTGTAAAAAAAAAATCTAAAACGTAGGAAAATACATGAATCTGATACTCTGTATCTGCATGTTCCATATCCAAGGATTCAACCTACCACAGACTGAAAATACTCAGAATCCTTCAAATCTGCACACAACATATACAAACTTTCCTGGTTAGTATTCTCTAAACAGTACAACATAGTAACTATTTACGTTGTATCATGTATAAGCAATATAAAGCTGTCTTCAAGCATATGGGCAGGGCTAGGATATACAGCTTAATGGTAGAGCTCTTGACTTAGCATGTTTGATACCCTGGGTTTGATTCCCAAAGCTGCAAAATAATAAAGAGTATGGGAGGATATACATAGGTTACATACAAAAACTACAGTTTCACATAGGGTGTTTCAGTATCTTCAGGTTTTAATATCCATGGGGGTTCTAGAACCAATTGCACATGGGTATTGAGGGATTATGCAAGTGCCAGTTTTATATAAAGTCCCTTTTCTCAAAACATGCTCTTCAGAAACAGAAAAGGTAAGTCAGCTTTGTTGCCCTGTATTTGAAAAAGAGAATTATTCAAAGCAAAACATATTTTTTATATAAATGAACAGACAAGTAGTTCACACAACTTTTTTTTTTACTGTTTTAAAATAAACTATAAAACTAGTGACATTTACCTGAGGAGCAATACGATTAACAATATGTGATATCTCATCAGTATCTGTGATGTAAATCTGTTTTCTTCTTCCTTTGCCTAAAGAAACAAAATACATTTCTATAAATTCCAGAGCCCCCCAAATTTAAATTATGTCACTTTTTAGAAAATGATTTTAATTAGTGGAACTCATATAACTATGCACTGACATCGCATGCATTATCAGAGATAAAATAACAGCCAAAAAGTATTCTGTATAAAAGTTGCTGAAGTTACTCATCTGAAATCTTACAGTTAAATCTTAATCAGGTATCAAAAATGTATGCACATAAAACTATGGATAACAAATTACCTAACTGTTTTGTCAATGGAGAATTCTGATCCCAAAAGATATCGTTCTGTCCATCTGGATCCGTTGGAGAATTGAAGGTACAAGGTAATATATCCACTTTCAGCACTCTCCCTGGCGTTTCATATCTTTCTATATAAAATGATTAAAATAACAATTACTGCATTTTAAAACATGACTATATAATACTCTAACGTTAGTCACCTAAGAGCTTAAACTAGATTACCTCTTATAGGCCAACGTTTACTCCTCAAGAAAATTAACAACAGTTATTTTACCTTAAAATCTGCCTTAACCTTTAACACTGTAAATTCGTGATCCTTTTCCTGTTTTAGTTTTTGTCTAGAATCATTTTAAATGTATAGATACACATGGATATGCAGGTGTGTCTGTGTGGGTGTATACACACACGTACTTGAGCAAACCCAAGTTCCCTTTATGGGTGTAGATTAAAGGCATGTCACCAGAGCCACACGCTAGGCAAAGGCTTGCCCTCCCCGCCCCCCGCCCCCGAGTTCTGTTCTTACTGCATTTAAGTGGACCACCACACACCCCGGAGGATGAAAAGGGCCCTAAGCGACCCCACTCTGAGAAGGGGACACCCCGGCACTTCCGGTTTCTCGGGACGGGGCGGGACCATGCCGAGAAGACTCAAGTCCCAGCTTCACCCCAGCCCCATTCCGCAGCAGGCCGGGGCACGAGAAGCCAACGGGAACCACGGAGCCCCGGGCCACCGTCGGGTGTGTGTGGGGGGGTCACCGGTGGGGGGGTCACCGGTGGGGGGGGTCCGCCGGTGAGGGGGGGGTCACCGGTGGGGGGGGTCCGCCGCCCCGAACCCCCCGCGCTCCCCCACGCAAGTCACCCCCCGGTAGCCACGAGCGGAAGCCAGGCCCCGCCGTGCTCACAATGGGGGGCGGCGGCGTGGGGTCACGCCGAGGCCGTGGGGGCCGCAGGGGGGTCACGCTGGGACCCGGGGTCGCGCAGCTCCCGCCGCCCCCCGACTCGGCGGGGCACGGCCGTGCTGTGGGGCGGCCGCGCCGGGCCCGGGCACCCGCGGCCCTCGCCTCACCCTCGGCCACCGCACACCCGGGCGGCGCCGCTCCCGCCGGGCTGAGCGCCGAGCCCCGGGACGATCGCAGGCGCCGCCGCCGGGGCTCGGCCACCCAGCTGCCGTCTTCGGCCGCCACCGTCGGGCGAGGCGTGTTCTTGAGGGAGGGGCTGTCCCCATATTTCCGCCGCCGACTCATCCTTCCGATGTCCACCCTCCACCGGCCGTTCGGATCATATTTTTGCAATAGCAGAAATGAAGTAGCAACAGTACAGACGGGACTAGGCGCCAACGGACGCCGCCATCTTGGCCGGTTAGGACGCGCGCGCAAGAGCCTGCTGCTGATTGGCTGCTTCCGGAGGAGAGGCGGGGCCGACGGGGCCTGGGCGGGCTCCCTTCCGCCCCCGGGACCTGACTGCCTAGGGGGTGTGGAGTCACTAGGGTTAGAAAGATGTGTGGGAGTGGCGGGGGTGGCCGCCCCCCCCGTGACCCCCCGCCGCCCCGGCCAAGGTCACGTCAGGAGAAAGGGACCCTACACAATAGCGGATCTTTACTGAATTTGCAACTGAAGTCACATATTCCTTTCATTCCGATCTTGTGGACTTGGGGGATTTGTTGAGGCAATACCAGGTATGCCTTAGAAGGGGAACAAAGCAATTCTTTGTAGGTGCTATGGTTTATGCATGTAAATATCACAACAAATTAATGGATACAGAGTCAACATTCCCCTCTCGGTTGTGTTTTACAATAGCATGAGATAAATATGGCTAAAAACTTTTTCATGAGCCCAACTAAGACAAGTATATTACATGAATAAATAATTACTGAACTTGAAGGTGATAATTGCAAAAATTAAATATAGGGAGTGACTAAGGATCTTCTCTTCAAGCCATGGCCTCCTTATATTACAATGGTACTGACTATTGGATGAATGGCTGTGTCAAGCAAACACCACAACAAAATATATGATCATATTTGCATTTTGTTTACAGAGTTCCAACTCCCACAAGGTACAGAACTGGGAGAGAATTTTTTTTTTCCAAAAGTCTTACTAGTATCCATCCTAAATGTCAACAGAATAACTGCTTTATCGCTGTCTAGTAATGGAGTACAGATGGGTGATCTTGCTCAGGAAGAAATGATTGGATTGGAAGTGGGCACTTAACTTTAGGAGCCAAATCCTCTTCTCCCTTGAAGATAGGAACTAAGAATTTGCCGTGTGTGCAAAACCAGGAAGGGCTAGAAACAATGATGAACATGCTGAATCCCAAACAAAGAATTTTGTAGAATTAGGCAGATAGATTGCAGACCATTGGAATCAACATGTGTTGATGCTGAGTGCCTTGAAACCCAAGCAACCAACCATTCAGTTACAGTGTCTGCAGATGGCTCTGTTGTAATGCCAGCCCTTGACTTTTCTGCTTCATTATGTATGCTTTGAGTATACTTCCTTTCCTTGGGCTAGATAATATTAGTAAGTCTGTATTCTTTTTACTAAAAAAATTAAAAACTAAGTTGGGTGCCAGTAGTTCACACCTGTAATCATAGCTACTCAGGGGGCTAAGATTTGAGGATCATGGTTCCATGCCAGACAGACAGAAATGTTGAAATGTCCAATTCATCAGAAAAAAAAGTCCAGAAGTAGAGGTGTGACTCTCCTCCTCCTCCTCCTCCTTCCTTCTTTTTTCTCCTTCCTTCTTCCTTCTTCTCCTTTTCCTTCTTTTAAAATTTTTTGTGCCAGTATTGACACTTGGAGCCTGGGTTGTCTCTTAGCTTTTCCACTCTACTACTTGAGCCATATCCGCACTTGCAGCTTCTTGGTAGTTAATTGAAGATGAGTCTCACATAGCTGGGTGCTTGTGACTCACACCTGTAATCCTAGCTACTCAGGAGGCTGAGATCTGAGGATCAAGGTTCAAAGCCAGCCCTGGCAGGAACGTCGGTGAGATTCTTATCTCCAATTAACCACCAGAAACCCAGAAATGATGTTGTGGCTCAAGTGGTAGAGTGCTAGCCTTGAGCTGAAGAGCTCAAGGACAGCGCCCAGGTCCAGAGTTCAAGCTCCACAACCGACCAGAACAACAACAAAAGAATCTGACAGACTTTTCTGCACAAACTGGCTTTGAACTATGATCCTCAGATCTCAGACTCCTGAGTAGCTAGGATAACAGACATGAACAACTAGCACTTGGGTGTTTTGTTGTTAGAGTCATGAATTTAGGTAGAGAAATGTCAGCTACATAAAACTTTGTTTTTAAATGTTGTTTGCCACTCTTTGGCATTATGGTTGTTGTGAACTTAGAACACCACACCTAATTATGAACGACTTAAGAAGGTTTTATTAATGACAAATTATAGGAATAATACTTCATAAATGTCAAAATAGAATGTAATAGAATCCTAAGATGGAGTCAAGTGAAAATATTTTAGTGACACTTTTGAATGTTACACAATTTATAGAGTAGGCACTGCTGGCATATGAAATCTTTTTCTATTTACTAGCTGACCTATGTATTATATTTATATTTCTTATATGAAATAAGAAGTTTTTTGTAGCTTATGTTTCTGGATTCCAATTCAACCTTTATTTTGTTTCTTCAGTTCTCTACCTTCTAGGCCAACCTATTTACTTCCCTTTTTGCTGGCCTCCAACTGGATCAGTCTTGTTTCAGTTCAGTTGTTGAGCTTAGATCTAGTCTTAAGAGAGTCCTACAGTGTAGATTTTAGACTTAAGAAATGAAGCCAAGGTGTAAATGTTAAAGATAAAGCCTGGGGCAAGTTACTGGAGTGGAGAAATTATCTTGTTGCTTGAAAAGGCAGATCCTCACCATAAAGGGGCACCTGCCAAGAATTCAGCCCAGTAGTTTATCCTGTGATGTTCACGAGGAAGACTGGAGCGGAGCAGGTTACCAGTTTTAGAACAGGACTGATTTCTGAATATTAAACTTCTTGCAGGCACTGCTTAGCAGTGAGCTCAACCTCCTCATTGATCATTTCCGGAACCAAAAATCCCATCTGCCTATGTCTATCCGGAAATAATGACTGTGAGTTTCATAAAGGCAATTTGAAAAAGCTGTTTCCGTTACTGCCTATGTGAAACCTTGTAGGAAGAGAAAAAAAAAGTCGAAAACCACGAGCCACCCCAAAATATCTCATCCAGGGTTAATAACTTTCTTTCTCCTGGCCATAATAGAATTTCACAATCATCTGTGTGTGTTTTTTCTTTTATGAATACCAGGAAGATGGATTGATTTTAAAGTTTGTCCTTGACTCTTCTTCAAGCAGCAGGATCCAATCTTTCACTCTGTCACCATAAGTTTAACTAAAAACACTTTCAAACACTGCCTCAGACAATTATAAATTTCTTTATTTTGAAGTAAAAGTAAAATCTTAAAAAATTTTACAACTCTTAATAGTACTTAGGTTAGCCAAGCTAAATGCTTGTCTAGGAATGCCTGAAATGTCCCAGATGTGAATAGTTCTGTAGAGAGTGGTTATTTAACCAGGATATTGTGGCCAGAGCTGAAAATGTCCTTTGATTGTTTAGGAATGACATACCAGAATTTAAAACATATTAAAGTTTTAAATAATTTTTGGAGCAATTTGTAAAATAATAAATAGAAAAGAAGTCAACTAGATTGCAAAGCCCTTATTAGAAAATGAACATTACTCATTTTAATTCAGTTCCCAACATAAGAAAATTTTCATTTCAACAGAGCTTTTCCTATCTTGCAGTCTGCTGGAAAAAAAATGATTGGTGTATTTCACATGGATATAAAAGGACTCTTTTGGTCTAGTGTAGCATTAATAATCCAGGTGACAATGTTAGAGAAAGCAGGATCTGGAGACTTGTCATCTCTTGGCAAGAAACTCATGGAAAGTGTAGGTGTATTTATTTTACCATGGAACTACTTTTTCTAATTCTGTTCACATGGCTTCTAAGTGCACGAATAGGTGTGTCTCTTTGCCTGCTACTTTTTGTGTTTAAACCCTTCCCCTGATCTTATCTTCACTGTTCAAAGTGTGGTGTGCAGCAAAAGAACTTGGGCATCACTTGGGAATGGCCTCAGGTCTGTCCCTGAACCACTGATTCACAAATTGTATAATAACAAGATCCAAGGCTATTTATGACTGTGCAAAAGTTAACAGGTGAGCCTCTGCAGTTCCTCTAGTAATTTTGGCCCACAATGATTAATGTCTCTTTTCTTCTGAACTTCTACCTTACTTGTACTTTGTTTTATATAACAGCACATTTAGTCCTACATTGTTCACTAATTACTGGAGCTATGCCGACCTTGCTTCCCTGATAACATTGTGACCTCCATGTGTGTAGTTAGCAGGGTTGGTGTTGTATGCTGAATTCTTTTTTTTTTTTTTTTTGGGTCCTGTTGTGGGGCCTGAACTCTGGGCCTGGGCGCTGTCCCTCAGCCCTTCAGCTCAAGGCTAGCGCTCTACCACTTGAGCCACAGCACCACTTCCGGCTTTTTTCATTTTGCGTATGTGTGACAGCCATTGTATTGTATTGGCGATCGTAAGCTTTGTGCTGACTAAGTAAGCATCTCACTACTTAAGGTACCCAAGTTATTTTGGGTTTAGTTTACTTTTCAGATAGAGTCTCATACTTCTTCCTGGATCATCCTTGAGCTTCAATTCTCCTATTTTCATTTCTCTTATAACTAGAATTATAAGCTTGCACTCCATGCCTGGCTTTCTTTTTTTAATATTGTGAAAATACCATACAGAGGGGTTACAATTACAGGGGCAACCTGGCTAGTTTTTGAGATAAGCTCTCACTTACTTTAGCCTAGGCTGACCTCAACCTTTCATCCTTCAATCTCTTCTTCCCAACCCCAACTTTAGAACTGGGACTATAGGCACATGACACAATACCTGGCTCATTATTACTCTGCAATTGCTAAGTGTTTGTAAGATTTCAAGCTAATATCAACCATTTCTTGTGTTTAGTACATATGTCTAGCAGAATTAGTTCTCGGATTGTATTTAATTTCTACAAAAGCAAAATCCTCCAAGAAAAAGGAGGTAACGTGAGTTGTTCATAAATACATGAGTGCACATGTGCATTCATGTGTGTAGTACACACACATATACACACACATGTCATGTTCTGACCTGTGTTATTGCTTTAGGCAATGTTAGGAAGAAAAATGTGTTTGCTATTTAAGCTGATCCTTTGTGGATTTTGTGTTGGTTTTTTTGGTGTATAAGTCAGCTATATAAGAAAATCTGTAATAAGTTTATTTTAAAGGAAGAAAAAAAATAGTATTCCTGTTAGAAAGACCAAAAAATTCTCTTTT